TAGTAATAGGATTTAGCCCGTAAAGGTTGTTTTCGGCCCGTATAAGGTATATATGCCCCCGTACGGATAGAGGGGTAGGGAGCGATTTACTAGGTTTAAAATAAGGTAATAGGGGTTATATAAGATATACCAAAGTATCAGGATAGCATTAGATAGTTATTATAATATAGAGATATCATAGGTAAGGTGTAATAGATAAAGGGGTAGGGTTCGAGGTTTTCGTTTTAAAATTAGCATTATTAGTGAAAACGAAGGCTATCCCATGGGGTGAACTGTAATGAGGCTCGTTACAGTTTAGTCAGCATTTTTTTATATAGGGTTAGGGTTTCCCGAGGGGGCAGATTACAGTTAGTTTCAGGGTGCCATTACAGTTACGTTCCCGTGGTTTTTTTCCGTTCAAATTTTTACCAATTCCAATTGAACAGTCAATTGTTTATTATCCCGAGTTACCAGGCAAAGCAACGTTTTGGAGAGGTTGTTACAGGGATTCAAAGTTGGGGAATTATTTTGATGGGGTACGGTCGGCCGCGCCATCACCAATATCATGAAACCCCAACACCCATCACCGCGCGATTCATCACACACGCATTATTGGTTCGATTCGTTTGAAAACCCAGTCGAGGATTTCAGGGGTTCCGATCAGTTCCCAGTTTCAATTTTATCAACATCCGAGCAGTTCCCAGCGTTAGGGTTTCACCAGCATACATTCAGTGGACAATCCGCATTGTGAGATATATATCCATGGTTAGTATGAGTGAACCGGCAGAACCCACCATTGCCGACCGGTATTTTATTTGCAATAAGCAGTGGGGAGTTGCCATTTGTCGCCAGTGCGAGCATGGAGTGAAGCCCAAGGAGATAGTCCGTCATTTGACCAACCCCAAGGGCAAGCACCGCGTCCGCAAAGGTGTTGCAGAACAGGTAGTGGATATTATCCGACATGCCGATGAATGGGATAGCGTCAAGGAAGAGACCAGTTGGTTCCCCACGAGCGTAAACCGTCCCGTTCCGGTATTGCCCATTTACCAAGATGGGTTACAGTGCCAATTTTGCCAGCAGATTTACCGCAGTCGCGACAGTTTGCGAGTGCATTGGTCGAGGGAGCATCGGTTTTCCGCGTACGGCCATGGGGGCAAGCCACGACCATCCGAGGTCGCCGCAGGCAAGCAGAACCAAGAGGAGCGAGCCAAGCGAGTCGTGTGCCAGCGGTTTTTTCCCCGTGGGTTAGGGTCGCATTATATCCACATACGCCATCCCGGTCCCCAGTACGAGCCCGAAGCACCGCCACCCCAGGCCACGCAAGTCGCCGAAGCCGTGGAGCGGTTACGCGAGGTGTTTACACGGAAAATGCAGTTAGAAAGCGAGATCCAGCCCGGCGCCATCGACGAAGCCAATCCATGGTTGGACCGAACGGGATGGGCGGTATATTTACGCGGGCGTAACCCCAGGGAATTACGGATATGCATTGAAAGCCCGACGGAAGATGCGGAGGGTGACGAGGGTACCACACGGGTGATTTGGGATACCATATTACGTGTTGCCAGCAAAAGCCAGAGTATCACCAAACGGACAGGACATTTGTTACGGATCGAAGCCGCCCGTACCGACATAGAGAAGATCCCATCGAAGCCATTGCAGGTATATATGAATACGGACGATGAGTTGGAGCGCCATGTCGACCCATGGCGCCGCATTTTGATGTTTTTCGCCCGCACCCAAGTTCAGCATGATTGGAACAGTCCGGTGTACCGGTTCAGTAAACGGCAACGCAAGGCGTGGGACGCATTATGGCATTCCGCCGAGTGTTATAAGGACCGGGCCGAGCCGATCCCCACCGACGGTACCGACCCGAACCCGGACGTATTACAACCCGTGGAAGCCGATTGTATGGAATTTATGATTGAATTGTTAAACCAGCGCATTCGATCGACCGAGTACGAGTTAGCGTTGGTGTGTGCATTGGCCGTGTTAGGTGTGAGTGACCATGACACCGGTCGACCATGGAAGGATCCCCACAGTTACCCCCAGATTTTGTCCAGCGTAATCAAGGTGTCCCGGTTCGTCGTTGTGCATCAGTCGTTTTTGTTAGACCCGGATGCGCGTGAGTTATTACAGGTTGGGGAGAATAAGTTAGTGGGGGAGTGGGATGACCCCAGTCCAGTCGATTATATATTTTCACATCAACGGGATAGCCGCAGTCCGCCCCAGACCCGAGCCACAACGCCCGAAGTATCCAGTTCGCCCGCATTTGGTAGTTTGCCCAACAGTTCCCCACCACCCGTTGCATTCACCCAGCAGGCACGAGAAGGCACCAAGACATGGCGCGAATGGATTCGTATCATGGTCACCGGGTTTATGGTGCACGGTACCGCCGGTCCGATGGAATGGATGATGGATTTACGCCGATATGGGTTAAAGGTCCATTACAATACCCCGTCCGTCGGGCATATCGGTTGGGGCAACGGGGACGAATTGTCGTACAAAACGATGCGGTTCACCATGGGGGCATTCCGCGGGTTCATTCATGGGTTGACGGCCAGCGCACGACAATTGATGGTCAACCAGATTTTGCGGTGCCCACCCGACCAGATTCCCGTCATCCCATGGGATCGTATAGCCGACGATTTCAACCAACCCAAGGCCGGGTGGAGTTTTTTGCAGGACGAGCGTACGCCGTGGCCCGTCGATGGATCCCGGTGGATGGTGGACCGGGTACGGGAGGAGCATCCATTGCAGCAGTGGTTTATGGAAGCCAGGACCAATCGGTTCAGTATTGATGCGATTCAACGGTTTTTCGGGTTCGTCAATGAGTTCAAGGAGAAGTTAGCCATTGTTTCGCATATCACCAGTGGGCAGCCCCCGCGTGGCCCCGAGTTATTGAGTATCCGTCACCGCAACAGTGCCGCCGGTGGACACCGCAATGTGTTTATTGAAGATGGATTGGTGGCATTTATCACCCGGTACCACAAGGGGTTTTACGCCAGCGGGGATGCCAAGGTGATTCATCGGTACGTGCCCCGCGAAGTGGGCGAGTTGGTGGTGTGGTATTTATGGTTAGTGTTGCCATTTGTCGAGATGTTGCAGGCATACCATGAAGAGGCATGCCATTTAGACGCCGTTCCCGACACGCATGCCACCAAGATGTGGGGGGTGGATGCCGGTAGTGGACGGGAGTGGACGCCGGCGCGGGTAACGGATGTGATGGTCCGGGAAAGTAAGATACGGTTACACCATGGATTGACGTTGGCCGCATACCGGGACATTGCCATTGCCATTAGCCGGCGGTATTTCAGCAATGCCAAACCGTTCCCACACAACGTCCGCGAGGATGGAACCGAGGTTATAGCCGACGACGAGGAGAACGAGGATGCCATGGACGACGAGCAATGGATCCGACATATTGCCGATTTACAAGCCGCGCACACGACCCACGTAGCGGAGATGGTGTATGGACGCATGATGAGCCAGCAGCAGGGGACCACAGCGGGTCGGCAGGCCGGGTTTCGGACGAGCAGCGTGCATTGGCATGATTTTTTAGGGTTTAACATCAAGGATATCCCGAGCCACGTATTGGGTAAGCGGCCACAGCCCCGGTGGAAGGACGAGGGGGTTATAATGCGGGACGAGCGTCAGCATTTGGTGGAGCAGACCAATATGACCGAGGCGTTGCAGCGGATGACCGGACAGCCCACGATACAGTTCCGCGGGGTGCAGGGGGCCGCCATCCGGTCGATTCAAGCGGGCCATTCCCGGGTGGTCGTGGTAATGCCCACGGGCGGTGGGAAAAGTATGTTGTTTATGTTGCCCGCGTGGGTGGCCCAGCGCGGCGGATTGACCGTTGTAGTAGTGCCATTGACGGCATTACGGGCGGATTTGCAACAGCGATGCCAGGCCGCCGGCATTCCATGTGTCGAGTGGGCCAGCCATCGACATCCCGATCATGCGGCCATTGTGTTCGTCACGCCCGAGTCCGTGTTCACGGACGGGTTCCAGTCGTTTTTGAACCGCCAGCGCGAGTTGATGCGGTTGGACCGGATTGTTATCGATGAATGCCATATGATGTTGAGCGAGTCCACGACGTTTCGCCCACGGTTACAGCAATTAGGTCGATTGCATCAGTGTGGCGTGCAGATGGTGTTTTTGACCGCGACATTGCCCCCATGCGAGGAGACCCGGTTGTTCAAGCGAATGCAAGTGGAGCGGGAGGACATCAGTATCCACCGCGAGCGAACCAGCCGTCACCATGTGGCATACCGGGTGTACCGGCCCGTGATTGCATCGGCATTTCGATCCCAGACGCAATGGATCGAGCAGCCCAGTATCCAACAGTTCATTCGTGACCGCGTACGGCGCGCGCGGCCCGGACGAGTGATTGTGTACGGCAGCACCCGGAATATTGTGACGCAGGCGGCCCAGATATTAGGATGTGCCGCATATTACAGCGACCAGGACAGTAAGTTAGGGATATTGGAACAGTTCCGACGTACGGCGAATGGGGTGATTGCAGCCACGAGTGCATTAGGGATGGGCGTGGATATTCCCGATATTCGATGCATCATTCACATCGGGTTTCCCCGGTCGTTGTTGGATTACGCACAAGAAAGTGGCCGTGCCGGACGGGATCAATTCCCCAGTGAAGCCATTATCATCCAGCCGGAAGGGTTTGACGAGGTCCCGGCATGGTTTGACCAGAACACGCCCCGCGAGCAAAGCGGGTTCGAGTTAGTCCGGCAGTACATGGCCAGTGATCATCAGTGTCGTCGAGCGGTGTTGGATGGTTATTTGGATGGGGAGATCGATGGAGATACCCGCGAGCAGTGCGGCGACCACGACCGGCAGTTCGGGTTCGTCGAGCAACGGTGTGATCAATGTGACCCCGATTGGGAGGCGGCCGAGACCGATGATAGGGACAGTGATACCGAGATGGATGATCCCCATACGAGCATCCCGAGCAGCGCGTCGGACGCCGGGGTCCCCATTGAGGCGCAGCATCGGTACCATCAGCAGGAGATGGTGCAGACGGCGATTTCGGAGCGAGTGCGGACGTTGCAAGCGCAGCAGTTATCGGACGAGGAGTTTTTAGCGCAGGAGGCACGGCAGTGGAACCACCGATGTTGGTTATGCGTGCAGGCGCAGCGGGATGATGTCCAGCATGATTTGTGGAGTTGCCCCGCGGGCGAGTGCAGAGTGTCGACGATGGGTGCGGGCGATTCGGGATTCGATACAGTATATAGCAGGAGGATTTTATTGTTGTTATTCGTGTGGTATGCCGCAGTCGATTTGTCCCGGTTGGGAGGCCGGGCAGCAATGTGAATACCGGCAGTTTTTGTATCCGATGATGGCGATGTTAATCCATTGGCAATGGGCCGATGGGCGACAGGGAGGGTACGAATGGTGGCGCCAGCGGATGAAGAGTGCCAATATCCGCGTGACGGATTTAGACGCCGTACGAGCATATTTAGCGCAGTCCGTGGACACCAGGCATTCCCGGTTAGCGCATGAGTATGTTTGGTTGCGTCGGATGTATCAAGAGTATGGGTTTTCGTGAGATTGCAAAGATATGGCAGGTATATATATAGGTAGATCGGTTAGGATTGGAGATGTATATTTCAGTACGAGATTTCCCGAGGAGACCAAAGAGATAGAATTTACATATCGTGGTTAGGGTTATCGATATTAGAGTTTCCGATAATATGGAGTTTAGGCGAGAGGGTAGTGATAAATTTAAGGGGTCAGGGTTATAGCGGCGTAAGGGGGTAGGGTTCCATGTTTCCGGGGTATGTTATTAGTATTAAGAATAAGGATATATATATAGATATATAAACGGAGGAGTATAATAAGGTAGGAAGTAAATAGATATTCGATAAATATAAATAGGATAGGAGGTAGAATAGTAGTAGCGAACAGGAGGAGGTTATTAGTTAAATCGAGGGGTAAGGGTTTTAATAGAGAGGGAGAGAGAGGGGGTAGGGATATTGTAGTATAAGGGGTTAGGATTATAACGGGGTAAGAGGGTAGGGTTATATTAAGATGTAGTAAGATATCGGCGTAGGGTAGAGTAGGATAATAAAATAAATATTTGGAAAGGGCAGTAGGGGAAGATATATAAGTGAACAGAGATCGGAGAGAAAGGGATATATATTAGGAGGAGGATTAAATTCGAAGGTATATGGATGGAGATATATATACAAGGGTAATAGGGATAGGACGATATATAAGAATTTCAAATGGGGAAGAAGGTTCAGAGTAGGATAAATAGGTCGGTAGAGTTTAAGATAGTGGAGTAGTGAAATTAGAAGGATAGTAGGTAAGGAGGTTAGATAGATAAGTCGGATAGAGAAAATAAGTAGGAGGTACGGGATATAATAGTAAAATAGTAGGAAAGGGGATTAGTATAGGAAGGAGGGTATTAATTATAATGTAAGAGGATGGTAGTAAGGATTATAGGAAGAATTAAAGTTATAAGGATTTATAGAGGAAGGGATATTATTAGACATAAGGACAGAAGTAAAATGGGATAGGAATAATAAGAGGAAAAGGATATAAAGGTAGTAGTGAAGTAGGTAAAAGAGGGAAGGAATAGTTAAGGGATATGGGTACAGGATATAGTTATAGTAAAGGGGTGAGGGTTTTATTAGCGAGAGGGTAAGGGTTTTATTAGCGAGAGGGTAAGGGTTTTATTAGCGAGAGGGTGAGGGGTTTCGTAGCGAGAGGGTGAAGGGTTTAGTAGTGAGAGGGGAAGGGTTTAGTAGTGAGAGGGGAAGGGATTTAATAGTGAGAGGGAAGGGATTTAATAGTGAGAGGGTAAGGGTTTTATTAGCGAGAGGGCAAGGGTTATCGCAGCGAGAGGGTGAGGGGTTTAGTAGCGAGAGGGTGAGGGGTTTAGTAGTGAGAGGGGAAGGGATTTAATAGTGAGAAGGGTGAGGGATTTAATAGTGAGAAGGGTGAGGGGTTTAGTAGTGAGAGGGGAAGGGATTTAATAGTGAGAAGGGTGAGGGATTTAATAGTGAGAGGGGTAAGGGGTTTAGCATGATTAGAAGGGTTAGGGTTATAGCATGATAAGAGGGGTGAGGGTTTTAGCATGATGAGAGGGGTAAGGGTTTTAGCATGATGAGAGGGGTAAGGGTTTTAGCATGATTAGAAGGGTGAGGGTTATAGCATGATAAGAGGGGGGAGGGTTTTAGTAGTAAGGTAATTAAGAGAGGTCAGGGTTTTAGTAGTAATATAGGTAATAGTTAGTAGTAGTGAGAAGTAAGGGTTTTAGGTATAGAAGACGGTAGGAGAGGTGAAAGGGGGATGGAAGTTTAGGAGAGGAGATGGATGTTTATTTAGGAGAGATGAAGTTAGGTGAATTAGGCGGGGTTGGGGTTAGGGTTAGGGTTAGGGCTTAGGGTTAGGGTTAGGGTTAGGGTTAGGGTTAGGGTTAGGGTTAGGGTTAGGGTTTAGGGTTAGGGTTAGGGTTAGGGTT